GTTGTCTCGTGCATAACATTAGAACCCTTTAGATGCAAGTAGCAATTGGTCTCTCTTGACCTCCCTTAAGAATTCGTAATTTAAATATAATTCCAATTAATGTCATTACTCTATTGCATTAGTTTCTTGTCAGGAAAATTATTTGGCATACACCTTCCCCGTATCCTTCCACTATAAATTATGTTCACAGGCTGAGAACTATATAATATCTGAAATCAGAATAATATGCATGTGAGAACTGTTGCATAAAAAAGGTGTAAACATTTCAAGACCTGAACTTGTTACATGTCTAATATATAATTATTATGTCCATCTTGGGGAGATGAATCATCAGATTTTGACCATATTTGGTTCATTTGGAAAATTTTATTCCAAAAATTAGACATCTTATCCGGTTTATGGTTAAGATATTTATTCCTTAAAATTACCTGTCAGGTCTAAGTATTGGTACTGTTAGCTTTAAATTTTCATGTACTTTTTGTTGGTTTTCCCGTTACCTACTTCTAGTAGCTATAGTTGAGTAGCTGCTGTCATTTTGGGGTAGACAATTCTTTATTACTTGGATCGTTTGAGCATTCACTTGTTGAGCTGTTATCGCTACCTACCTTTATGCACCCTTTTCTTTCTGTGCAGCATAGAGGATTATCGCGTATTTGAAACACATTTTTCCTTCCTCAAAGGTCGGATAGCAAATAATGTTGGGCGAAATTTTATAAATGCTGTGCTGCTTTGACAATGAAAAGGTACCACTGTTTCACAATTGTATTTCCCCGTTTGCATCTTGGATTTTCTTCATATAATAATCTAATTTTTTAATATGTATATATGTTACCAACAGTTTTCAGGAAGACTGCGCTTGATGGACTGCTCAGCAAACAGTAGCGACAAAAAAACATTGAAGCGTTGGTTTTTCATTGATAAAAGAGTTGGGTAAATTATTTTTGACAAGGGAGCATAAATTTCGATTTGATCGAGCATCTCTCTCATCACTCCACTATATTACAAAATCTTTTTCTCATATTAAGTTGCTGTATGGACTTGACATCAAATCACGCTTCTCCTGTTCTCACTGAACCTGCACCAATGAATAAATCTAGACTAGGAATCCATTCTGCTATTTTACCTTATTCTCAACCGGCTGGTTCCTTTTCCCCAAGTAAATATATCACTATTCCAAGGAAAAAGTCTGGAAAGTTTGATGATGTATGGTCCAATGGTTGGTTGGATGCAATGAAATCCTCTTCTCCTCCTCGGAAGAAGCTAATTAAGGATTTTGATGTTGAGTTTGCTTCAGACGATGATACTGATGTTGCTTACAGCTCCTGGATGGTAATGTTAGATGCTTGTAAATTTATATACATCCTCGTCTGATTCTTCACTTCATATACTCATTTTTCTTTCTGGTTCTGCAGCTAAAATATCCTTCAGCACTTGACTCTCTCGAGCAAATTACCAGTTATGCAAAAAATAAGAAGATAGCTGTTTTTTTGGACTATGATGGGACCCTTTCTCCCATAGTAAATGATCCAGATTGTGCTATTATGTCTAATGCTGTACGTCTAGAGTTCGAATGGCAACGTCCTTTTCCTTTGTTTTCTACATGTATCTTCTTTAACCATCTTAGGTTTTTCCAGATGCGATCTGCTGTAAGAAATGTTGCCAAATATTTTCCAACTGCAGTTATTAGTGGAAGAAGGAGAGAAAAGGTAAGTGGAGAATCCTTTCGAAATTCTCTGTTTTCTGGCTTTTGTCAAGAACTTAATTTCTTTAGGAACTGAAGCTGTGTGTATTGCTTTTTTAGGTTTTTGACTTGGTAGGACTAACTGAACTCTATTATGCTGGTAGTCATGGGATGGACATCCTTGGCCCCGTGAGTCAAACAGTGCTGAATTCCCATCCCAACTGTATTAAATCTACTGACCAACAGGTGAGTGATGGAATAAGATCGATCCTTGAATTGTAATATTATATCTTAGTATTTCTTCTTTTTTATTCTCAAAATGGCAGAAGATGATCCTTAAATTGTAATAATATATCTTAGTACCTTCTCTTTTTTCATCCTTAACATTCTTGTCACAAGTTAATGGTTTGAGATTTCATTCATTTAAACTCTCATGATCTCTGTTTCAAAAAACAGGGTAAAGAGGTTAATTTGTTCCAGCCCGCAAGGGAATTCTTACCCATGATAGACGAGGTGCACATTTCTTTCTTCTAATTTACCTCGTCAAGGCATAGTATAACGTTTCAAATTATTAATGTATTAGAAGTATAATTATTTCTTGTAGGTTTTTGGAACCCTCGTTGAGAAGACAAGAGATATTAAAGGCGCAAAAGTTGAACACCACAAGTTTTGTGCCGCTGTACATTACCGCAATGTAGATGAGAAAGTAGGATTCTTGGCTCTTCTATCAAGTCATAACATTTTTTTCTGTGTTAGATCGTCTGAAACATTTCCTCCCTTTGTTCTTCTTCAGAACTGGCCCACAATAGCACAATGTGTTCATGATGTACTAAAAGACCACCCACGTTTACAATTAACACATGGGCGGAAAGTATGATTGTTTTTCTTTTAAAGTTCCTTGTATGTGAATGCTTCCATTATTTCTTGTTTTTATAGCTGTGTTCTGACTACTGATTTGATACTGCAATAGGTTTTAGAGATCCGTCCAGTAATTGATTGGAACAAGGGAAAAGCAGTCGAATTTCTGCTTGAATCTCTCGGTATTGTCATTTTTTTTCTGTATTTCCTTTTTAGATGAACTAAAAGAGTTCTCTTGCGTATCCTCATCCAGAATCCAAAATTTTACAGGATTAAACACACGTGAAGGTGTGCTCCCTATATTTATTGGTGATGACAGCACTGATGAAGATGCTTTCAAGGTAAAAGTCTTCATATGCTAATGCTTGTTTTTATATTGCTTTCAAGTTCTAATATTGTTCACATTGTCTGTCTTGCACAGATGTTGCGGGAGAGAAATCAGGGGTACGGCATCTTGGTGTCTTCTGTGCCAAAAGAGACCTACGCATTCTACTCTCTCAGGGATCCCTCAGAGGTTAGTGGTTCGTTTATTTCCTCATCACTTCTTTGTACGTATAGATCGATCTGCAATGAGCTTGTAGGAAGGATCTTGGGAAGGAAAAAATGAGGAAAAGTTGATAGTAAAGTAGAGTATGAATTGATGTGTGGGTGCAGGTAATGGAATTCCTGAGAGGATTGGTGAGAAGCCGTAAGAAGGTGTGGGGCCATGAAGCCGGAAGAAATAATTGTTGATTAGGTAAAAAAAAAAACAAAAAAAGAAGAATAATAGCAGTAGTTTAGAGTTAGGGGATGATTGAGGTTGAAAAGTTTGTATGTTTTTTATGGTAATAAATCCAAGGAGTCTGTTTTATTTAGATTGCGGGGGTTTGGATGACTACTACTGCTCTACTTTGTGGGTGGGTCTACTACTGTTAGCCATTTCAGAAATGTGTCCACATATTTACCCTTATTTATTTCATTATTTCAACTTGTCCTCTCTCGCTCTGTATGTATGTATGTTGCCTTCCTGGGTAGTGGAATGAATGTATGAGGCTACTAGTACTAGTACTACTTGTGCGTGCAGTTATTTTTTGGTTGATAATATCATTCACCAGTTTATATTAGGAGTTTGTATAATGAGAGTATGAAATGAGTTTAGGTCGAAGTTAAACAGAACTCAAATCCCAAGGGGTTAAGTCCATTGAAGTCCCATGCTCACATGTTCATGGCATCACTTGTTTGCCTCGAAGTTTAGGCTTCATTCACCTCCAATTCGTGGCATCACTCGCTTGCCTCAAATTCACGCTTTTCCCCCAAATGCAGGTTGCCTCTACTTGCCTCATATTTCAATTTTCTTATTTGATGTTCAAAGTTGGCCCGTTGCTCGCATCATATGCTTCATGTTCAACATCGATTGTTCCTTCTTTTAAGTTCAAGTTTTAGATTTCACCTTCTTTAACTTTACGTTCAACTGTTGCTCACTTTAAGTTTAAGTTCGAGCGCCATTGGTTGCTTCTAAGATCAAAGCATCCCTCATTTCATATCTTAGGACTTTGTTCGCTGGTTCCTGGTTTGACATTTCACCTTCCAAGTTAGGTGCTTGTTCCAAGTTGATGTTCAAGTTTAGGAGTTTTATTTGGTGGAAGTTTGGAGTTTTTAATATTTGGGTTCGCTGGGGGTTTGGCATTTCCCTCTATCGCCAAGTATAGAGGCTTCATTGCACTTGATATTCAAGTTTTGAGGCTTGGTTCATGCTCCTTCTTCATCAATCAATTACAAAAGCTTTATCGTTGCTCCGTCATCGAGCTTGGAAGCTACGTTGTCACTCCATCGTCAAGCTTAGAGGCTTCGTCTTCAAACTTCATTGTAGCTTTATATCCCTTGGAGGCTTGTTGTGGCTGATCGCCATGTCCTGTGGCTTCATCCTTGCTCCATCTTGACGTGCTCTCCAAGTTCAGAGGTTGAAACTTCACACGTTTCAACTGAACGTTACTCGAGTTTTGCTTCGCTTCAAGCCTTCAAACTCAAGCTTCACTCTACCCTGAACAGGATGAGTCCCAATTTAGATGTTGGCCTTAAAACAACATATTTGACAACACCTTTGCTTGGACGAAGGCCATCAAATGGCGAGGAGAATCATGAGCCAGACCGACGCGATGCTGATGGAAATATTAGGCGACGCCGGAGCCTTCTTATTCCTCGATAGAACAAGACCCACATCCCACACCTTTATCTCAAATATGAATTTGATAAAATCCAAATTCACCCACATCCCACACCTTTATCCCAAATATGAATTTGATAAAATCCAAAGTCACCCACATCCCACACCTTTATCTCAAATATGAATTTGATAAAATCCAAATTCATGTCAACGGCCTAAATTCCATCCCGACTAAATGATAAGTCATTGCGAATCAAAATTTGTTCATAATCATAATTTTATCCCATCGAACTTTTAAAAATTGGGTTGGTCCAAAAAAAATTACACATCATACATCACGTAAGTCATCCTGGTCCATATTTCCTAAGTTGATGTTCATTTCATCTTACTCGTTGACGAGGTCTCCCATGTTTGTTGAACCCAAAAGTCAGATCATCTTTCAACATAAAATCTTCTTCCTACAAAAAAAAGTGTCAAATTCATACGAAAAAAAATGAAAAACTATAACATTGACACATTTTGACACTTAACAATTTGATGCCACAACTAAATTGTTGTACAACAAATCAAATCAAATCAAATCAAAAGCATGAAAAGTAATGGTGGAAAATGAAAGATGAAGAAAAGGCAGGAGAAAGAAAGAACGAAAGAAAGAAAGAGGAGGAGGAGGGAGTGTTTGACCTGTTGAAGAAGCCAGCTAGGGTGTGTTGTTGTTGCTGTTGGGAGGAACACCAAAATTGTGAATGTGAGGGAAGTGGGCCCACTGCTTCACCCATCAAAACAACAAAATCAATCTCTTAAAATCAAAATGAATGAATGAATGAATGAATTCACATACATTCTTAGCTGCAGCGCTGAAGGCTTCTCTGTGAGAGATGTCTGGATTGGCAGCCTTGATGCGTTGGATCTCCTCCCTGCAATTGCAATATATATATATACATACACCACCCCTCACTTTCTCAACACCAAACCACAGACAAAAAAGAAAAGAAACATGAAACAATGGTGTACTCACTTGATGAATCGGTTGTATGCAGAGGGTACTCTCTGTTTCTTTTCTGCAGCTGTGTCTCATCAACACACACACAATTTAAATCAATCCCCTTTTTAATCTCACTTCCAAACCCTAATCCCATTTCAATTCACAAACCAAACAAACACTGAGGAGAATAAAATAAACATAGTCGTTCTAAGTTAAAAGTAAAGTTCGTTGAGGATAGTTGGGGGAAGAGTTTCGTATTGACTAATTAAGGAGTTGATCATGAGTTCATAAGTAAGAAACAATATCTTTATTGGTATCACGAGAGCTTGTTTTGTAGTTTGAAAGTTGTATAGGTGGCAGCCCTAACCAGAGAAAAGCAACTAGGGCTGCAGATTCAAACACATGGAAGCAAGAGAATAGTTAATGATCTTGGAATCCATCCAATATATCAACCAAACAATATGACAACTAATTCAAATTTCTGTACAACATTTTGTTTCTATGTTCTCCTCTTACCTTAATTTTGTTCTCAATATCATCTTAGCTACTCAACAACTTACAACACTTCACATGCCTCCTCCAAATACTACAAGAATTCCTTAAACCATAATCTTAATCCGTTCCAATTTTGAATCTTCTTGTGTTTTTCTCTATTTTTACTCGAACATTGCGTCATTTAAGGTCACAAATTTTCAAAATATGGGAGTGTTTAAAGGGTTTGTTCATCCTTAGAATCAATTCCCCTAAAAAATACAAATGATTTCATTCACACCCATTTTAGACCTATCAAGAGTTCCAAGTTTGTAGGTAAAGACCACTAAAAAAACAGAACAAAATTTCAGGCGGGAATACTCACTACTAATACTACAACGACATTGTTGTAAAAACATAACAAAATTTAAGAAATGAATTCAATTATCTCACGTCTATTTATGCTTGGGGGTGGCCTTGGAACATCGTTTCCTACCCGAGTTGCCATCGCCAAATCAATTCCATCGGTTTGGTTCATCACAAAATTTGGATTTGGATTTGAGATCTCTTCCTGAAAACAACCCCCAAAAGTATAAGTTCTACAGATCCCTTTGGGGTTAGCAATCAAATTAATAGGTTGAGTTCGATAACGATTTCGTTTCAAAATGAATGACCTAAATTCCGAAAGGAAACCGAAAACATAAACGATACTAAATAGGGTTTAGTGTACCAGAAAATTGTGAGCATTGGGAGAGAAGAAAGCAGTATGATGAAAGTGATTGGGAGAAGGGAGAAGCATGCCACCACGCATGTTGACCGGTAGAAGATTGGCGCAGTGGCCGCAACGGACGGTCACCGTTTTGAACAAACTAGCACAAGGAACACTCACCTAAATAAAAACACAAACTTCAATCATATATAAAAAAAGAACATAAGAAGAAACCTTAATAGTAGAAACAAATGGGAATGTACCGCCAAAACCGTGTCGCAAACGTTGCAATGGACATAGCAAAGGTGGTCGGAGGAAGGAGGAGGAGGAGGATGTTGGGAGAAGGTGGTGGGAAGGGAAAAAGACACATATTTAACAAATTATGCGTTTCTTTTTTGTTTTTGTTTTGTTTTTTATGGTTATTACAATTCTCCTCGTCTTTTCATTCACGGATTGGATTGGATTGGATTGACCGCTTAACTTAAAAAAAAAACCCTCTTTCGAGATCTATGTACGTATGTATGTATTGATGTATGGGTATTGGGGTTCCCAATGCATAGAGGGGGGTGGGGAGAGGAGAGAGAAAAGGACGTATGCATGGGAGGTGAGGAAGTCAGGTGTAGTTTTCAGAAGTAAAGAGGGGTGTTGTTGTGTTGTGTTGCGTTGCGTTTGATTTCCTCAATTTCCGAACCTTTCTTCTTTATATCTGTTGGATGGAAGGTGTGTCCTTTGGCAGGGAAACCCTATCCCCTTTCTTTTTCTATTGCTTTGTTTTCTTCTCCCTCGCTGTCAACAATAATGGCATAATGATGACACTATCATTTTGTTATTTGGGTGTATAACCTTACCTTCCCCACCCTTTTTTGCTATAACATTTCTTTAATCATAACTTTCCGCCTAACTTTTTCACGTTAACTTAACTTGGAGATGTCTATTTAATCTGTGGGATCCGGTTACGTGCAGACATGGTCTTAATAGGGTGGGGATTCTCTGTTTTAGTTGGAAAATGGAAGAAGTTGTGAGAGATTTATCTTTGTTAGATAAATAGAGCCAAGAGCGAGAATTATATTCCCCATTGATTGTGAGATTTCATATCGGTTGTAGAGAGGAACGAGTGCCAGCGAGAACGTTGGGCTCCAAAGGGGGTGACTTGTGAGATTACACATTGTTTGGAGAAGGAAACGAGTGCCAGCAAGGAGGCTGGCCCTGAAAGGGGGTGGATTGTGAGATCTCATATTGGTTAGAGAGGAGAATGAAGCGTTCTTTGTAAAAGTGTGAAAACCCATATCAATTGGAGAGGGGAACGAGTGTCAGCAAAGACATGGTCCTCAATGGGGGTGGATTGTGAGATCTCATATCGGTTGGGGAGGAGAACAAAATATTTTATTTAAGAGTGTGGAAACCTCTACCAGCAGACACATTTTAAACTTTGAGGGGAGGCTCGGAAACAAAAAATTGTTTAGCTAAAAATGACTTTATCAACAAACTCCAATTTCTAATAATACAAGTGAATCAACACCCATTAATAGTTTATATGAAAAAATAAAAATTACACATTAAAAAAGTTCTTTAAAGCGAATTTCCGCCCCCAAACTCCACAAAAATAAATAGAATTTTTTTTAGGATGAAAAATGAAATAAGTGGCACAAACGAAAATGAGGAAAGTTTCTTCGTTCTCACCCGCTCCATGAACATCTATACTAATAATTACTTAAACTTTAAATTTTATACTTAAATAATGTATTAACATACAAAGTTGAAGAAATTATTAAATATTTTTAAAAATTCAGAAATTTATTCAACCTATTTTAAAAATCTTAAAAACTTAATTAAATATTACCCACAAAATTGGGGTCCAAGTTAAATTAGATAACGTATTTCCCGGTAGTTAAATAATGACATGACACATTCAATGGATAATATTTGTTTGATTTGACGTGAGCTGGTAGACAACAGTGAAATAAAAATTAATATTTTTTTAAAAAAATAAGAGGGTACGTGTAAATGTTACTTCTTATTTTGTCTAGTCATCCATTTACTTTGGTTTTCGATATGACATGTCATATTAATTATTATTATTATTATTTTGTTATATTCTCTAAATTCACCTATATATTATTATATAATTACCAATTTGAACATAATTAAGTAGGATTATGAATAAAAAATGTAATTAATTTTTTTTAGTTGGAGAAGTAAATAAATAGAATTGAGTAATATATATGTGTATAATTTATTTTTTTATTTAATAGAATTATTTTATTAATTAGTCGGTGGAGTTCTCATTTAATTTATATTTTAAGAATAGAAATGAAACATGGTTGATAACTACCTTAACATAAATTGGACCACTATGCATTAATATCATTTATTGTAATCGGTACAATGTAACTAAATTATTTATAAGCAATCATGTTATCTTCTTTATATTTCTTCTATTTTCCATTTCCTCTGTCTACATTAAAAAGTAAATTTAACTATGATAATTTTCTTTAAATAATTTATTAGAATCTCTTCGTCTCGACTAAAAAACATGATGAGCTCTAGGACGAGACCTTGTCACACATGCTCTGATGTCTAAGCCAACTATAATTTGAAATAAGTGTAAGAATGAATTAAGGTTTTTAAAAAGGTGTGATGTTAGGATCGACCTAGTTAATCTGACTCGGACTGTTTACCGCCCTAGATTGGGCCTTTGGGCACGATGAGCTTGTGGAGTTAAATTCAACCACAACATTGGTCCCCACTCTCAAGCTAGCTCTTGGCTTGGGGAAGACCGAAAGTCTTCCCCATCACCATGTTCAATCACATGGACCTGATTTTGTGCAACAATTTTAGTCGGTTGAGACATCTAGTAGATCGGGTAACACTTAAATGCCTATCTCAAACCCATAAGACTAAGTTTAGCCTTTCGTGCTTTGATAAGTGTTGGAAAAACACGTGTTTGAACACCTTTACTTATAGCATTAATTGTACTAACACGATAAAAGGGAGCTAATTTAGAAGAATGTTTAGTTTATGTTTTAAACAAGTGAAATTTTCAAAATAAGGAATAATCCACGTGGACACAAAACCTTAATATAGTTTGACCTGACATTATAAAGCATCAAAAAGTTTGACCTCAATGATACTTTTACTTGTTGGATGAGATCCCTTGTCTATACATACCCAGCATTCGGGTCAACATTTGCAAGGCATAATGTGATTGATAGAATTATCTCACTATTAAATTATTTAGAAATTTTCTATGTTAAGATTAGGGAACTTGAGATAGAGCGGTTCTATGTTGACCTAAGTCAATACGTTTCCAATAGACCGAACACCATAGGATCGTGAGTGGCGATCAGTAGTTAATACCATAGTGCTCCCAAAAATTGGATTAGCTACAAGGAGCTAGTCTCAAGCGTCCTAAAAATGTGAGTTGAGACTTAAACGGCCTAAATGTCCTTAGAACCTAGTAAACCCACATGACACATAAGAGAACTTAAGAAAGCTTAGAAGCCCGCTAGTAGCAAGAACGATGTTATTAGAGCCTAGCTGCCTCCTCTTCCCTCTAGTACTTCAGTAGCACTATTCAGTAACCTAGGTCAAATTCAAGATTGCCCCTACCAAGTGATAGGCATCTAAGAATCTATACGATCAAGCTTGACTAAGGTTAAATAGGATGGCCGTTGTGGAGACTTGATGAGTTACATAGATGAGAGACTAGCTCATGATTTCGTAAACCCATTCTGAAAAGGGACGAAAAACTACATATGTAGTTCAACGCATGATGAGTGTCAATATCATGGGTGGAAATGGTTAGGGGCTCTCTGAACAGTTTCGCTATACTATAACCTATCTTAAGAGGGGGCAAGAGACCACGTGGGTAAACTTAATAGCTAACTGGTACGCATGGTCGCTCCCCTGACTTGACTATGTAGTAATTTTTGTAGAAGGGCCGCCGGTTAATCTTACTCGAAGTGTTTAAATATATTTTGAATAATGATTTAGATTTAAAAGAAAATTGGAGAGAAAAGGATAGTGGGTGTTGGATGGGATGGGAGTGAGCGTACAAAAGTGGCATGATACATAAATGAAAGCATTAAAATGCATGCCTCTCTGCATGTACTGTATGACATATTCAATGTATAAAGCCTGCAAACTCTACAAATCGGCATTGGGTGGGTGATGGATGAGTGGAGGAGGTATCAATCAATTCCCATCAATTCCTTGCCTTTTTTGTTTATGTGGTTGAGGTATACACTATTTTTTACCCAAATATTATCATATAAACTCATTCGAGTTCGAAAGTCTTTTGTGTATGGATAAGTTATTTAGCATCCAATCTTCAATGGAGAATAGAAACGGGATATAAAAGTGTACAAATGACAACCCATAAAAACACAAACTACACTGATGCCCCGGGTCGATACCCCTTTGTGATAGTGCGGGCTCCCAAGCACTCTCGCACCTCGACCAGTACGTGCATTCACCCGAAAAAAAGAAGGGGTACATGGGTGAGTACAAAAATATTCAGTAATAAACCTATTTGTAGGCTATCATCACATCTAATTCCTAGTAAGTTTCCACAAACTTTTATCTAGGCTCAGAAGTTCGGGTCTATTCAACTATCTGAGTTTCTTTGTAGGTCTCGAAGGTGTAGTAACAACTATAATCAATCAAATATTTATATAGCCTAAGTCCCTTATTACAATTTGTTTATGGAATCGCGATCTAACATTTGACCTATTTCTGCATGCAACAGTATCACTCACCTTTAGTTATCTACCTGTGTAGACTCACGTCTCTCTCCAAGATCGGTTTGCAGAATCACGACTTCAACATTTGACCCGTTTCTACATGTAATAGTATCTCTCACCTTTAGTTATCTACCTGTACAGACTCAAGTCTCTCTCTACGATAGGCTTACGGAACCGCAGCATTAGCCTTATCCTTTCTTACCTAGGAGTATTTCAATAATTTTCTATAACATATATAGTATTATCATCCAAATAGCCTTTCTAGAGTCCTAAACATGCATATTCTAACAACTTCAGATAATATGCTCACATGCTAGCACGTCCAAACCACACGAATAATCATTCTCGTACAACCCACATTGAACCCTACCTTAATACCTATAGAATTGAGACTAAAATGTTCAAACTGATTTTGGTCAACTGAACCTAAACGACGTTTTTGGGTTTGATATAGAGAAGGGGTATGATTTCAAAGCTTGTAGACATCTAAATATGTTTAATTTGTAGCAAATAGAAGTACATGAACATGGGTAGCATAAGCACATGTGAAAACAAGAAGACATATGAATGATGTGTTCTCACATGGGACGTTCTCTTGAAGTTAAACAAAGTTGATGATGCTATCTATCTTACTTCCA